ACATAATACTGTACTGGCGCCTCGGTAGATGTCGTGCCATTGGCCTGCTTGGCTACATTTATCATCTCAGATCCAGGATCAACGCCAATGGCTACCTCAAAAAACGGAGCGAGGACATTGGTCACGTTTCCGGGACCGCAGCCAACATCGAGAAGAACTCCGCTGCTACCACCGATAGACTTATGATGCTCCAGGACAAATCTGTGGATTTGAGAGAGACTCACACGGCGATGCTTGGCGTACGAAGTTGCTTGACTTGAGTTGTAGGACCTGAAGGTCGGGTCGGATGGTGTCTCTGCATTGCGGACAGACATGATGAGCTATGGTAACAAACGGTATCAGCTTGTTTTCACGAATATATCCTTGGTGATATCCAAGCGCCACTCCTCTGATCTCTTCAGACTTTGCAGAATGTTGTGTGGGGAAACCACTCCTGGTTTTGTATGAACTGGGATTGGTTAAAGTCCATCCATCTATAAATCTCGGCTTTATCTTTACTGAGTCATATGTCGCATCTCAAATGTTTTTCTGTTCTTATCTCATTACCCTTACGGTGACTCCCTAAGCACAAAACTTCGTTGTCGAAAGGTTTGTAGGTGTTGCGCCAAACAGGAGGATCAACCCTTAACCGGAAACAGAAGGTTGTCAAACCCGGGACCACAATTGTTACCACTTCAAAGAAAGAGTGAGTCATCATTGACCCCTCTCAACATTGACCTCTGATTCCAAATATTTTGTCTTGATCATTTCAGCAGCGCTTTATCCCGGGATTCGCGATGGATACAGCACATCTGAGTCACTCATTTAATATGCATGTCGTCAATAGCACTTCAAAATTTTCAGGCACTCAAAGAATGGCTTGTTATTGACAATGAGAAGACCACTTTCATAAACACCTCAGCCAGGATGATTTTCCCATGCCTGTGTATTGAGTCACTCAGTGAAAGTAATGAAGTGGTGTCTTTCAAGATAATTCCTTTAATTAGAAATAGCTAGGCAGGACGACACACTATTCGAACGTTTTGGTATATTTTCATCGGAGTATTTGGTACTGAGTTTTGGGCTCCAATCTCTTAACAAGACCAAGCACGATGAATGCCACAGTAACCATTGATGTTGTCTCCTGTGAACTCGCACTTGTGGTTGTAGCTATTGTCGTTGTTGTAGAGGGCGAAATCATCACCTCCACATCCACCGAGGTAGTATGTGAAGCCGTTCGACAGAGTAAAGCGAATACCGCAGGGGTTATCGCCGTTATCATTAATCGTCACGGCCTTGCCACAAGGATCCTCTCCTTCAAGCCAAGCAGCTATTCGAGTCAGTACTCTTTGCAATACCAGCTTAAAGAATGATATATCTAACGCACCGTTCCATGTCTGAGAACTACCACTTGTCTCGAAAGTGATTGTGCCATAGGCAACCGTGGCAAGAGAGCGTGATGCCAAGAAGGTAACGAGTACAGCAAGGCTTGGGGCGAGTTTCAACTGCATTGTGTTTGGTGGTAATGAAGATACTTTAGATCCCTTCCTTATCTTAGAGTTGTTTGTAAAGATGTAGCGTATAATATACCATGACTCATTCTCTCTGGCAATTTGTTCGCTTTATATACTCTACAGACGAGGGCATTGGAGGGTTGGCTACCACCATGCAGATACCAACAAGGCTGTGAGGAGCAGCTGAGTACTTGATCTGTAATTGTCACTTGGTCACTGATTGAGGCTTCGAGAGCTGACGTTTGATCATTGTGGGGTATTCTATTTTCAGCCTTCCAAAGATGTTGAGGTTTGCGGCGTTTCTCAACCACTTGAATCCACGGTGTAAAACGTACCTATGAGCTGGCAACCGCGACCCTTCGAAGGGGAGAGGTAAGACTAAGCTGTGGAGTAGGCATGCATTGTGGAACCGTCAATCACTGATATTTTCTTACATGATATTCATAGCCATTGATGTAAAAGCTGGATTTGTCAAGCCTCGTCATGTCGAAATGGTCCCAATACTCAAACTTAATGTGTTTCATTCCATGTTGGTAGCTTATCTCTTATGTATAGTATAAAGAAAGAGAATAATCCTAAGAGTTTCCTGGGAAGTTCTCGATTATTGTCGCAATATTTACCTGACACATTGCTTTCAAAATTAAATTGGCGATCCGTATCTACTCTAGTTCAATCACCCCTGACAATGCCGTGCAAGGTATTTGGTATTGAACTCTATTTGGCGATGCTGACAAGAACTTCAATTCATCGCTCATTGGAGTACGACAGGTTCAGCTGAGCGGGTCCTATTACTATTCTGCCTGTCAATTGAGGCTTGCTGACTGTAGACTGCAACGATGCGGGCCAATCAAGTAGAAGTTTACGAGACTTATGCGAGGGACTGGGGTATCTGCCGGCAGAAGCGGAAATATCTACAGCTCTGAAAAAAGACACGAGGCCAAGAAGAGGCGATTGCCGCAGGGCGTTGCGGAACTCCATCCAACGTTCAGCGGCCGAGCTTCTTGGTGGAGGCGGATGTTTTGCTTACTCACAGCTTTCCACAAGTTTTTATTAAAAGAATGGATGCCCACTGATCGACATAACTATCTCAGTTCTTGGCAAGAGCAGGCGAGTCGGCCACAATATTACACATCAGGCTGCCCAATTGATCGAAATACACTAAAGAAGTTACGAGATGACGGCCCAAGTTAGATCACCTTTCTGAAAGTATTATTCAGCTTCCCCCTTTTAGCAAGAACTCCATTCTAAAACTCATCAATCGTGATCAGTTTGTATCCTCTTCGTTTGAAACACGCCCGGAATCATCAACAATGTCGCTTTTCCCATCTATGCCAGCCCATTTGACAAGCCCATCTCCCGCAAAATCGACAACTCTCGAGGTATAGAATATATGGCACTTGGGTTTGAATGCTTCCTTCCCCTCGGGCGAGTTGATACTGTGAATCAGCGGCGGAAAGAGCAAAATCATGTTTCTGCCCTCGTCCATAATAGGGGCCCGGCAGAAACCACAGTACACTTTGCAGGGCAGCTCATGCTCCGGCTGCTGGAGCGACGAAGTCCACCATGCCAAGCCCTCGCTCCCTCTTGTGAAATTGATGTCAGACTTGTGGAAGATGGCTGCCCATTGGAATGGTGCCTTTAAGATGTCAGCTAAAGTGTGAAAGGTTCCTCCAAGTAGCAGCAGATGATCACGAACGCCATGGAGTTTCTGGCAGCCTTTGCAGTGACAATATTTCGACGCCAGCGGTTTATCCCTAGACAATTGATACTCAATTCTACCACAATGACACGAACCTCTCCACTTCACCTCGAAGTTGTCGCGGATCCGATAGGGCTCTTTGTGCCTCCATGAGCTGCTACTGCTCTCGTCTCGTATTGCAGTCATCTTGCCTAAGTGATCTAACACGACTGCTTCGATTAAGAGGACAGTATGGTAGATGATATTCTAAGCGAAGATCTGCTGATACCACTGATGAAACTATACTGGAGTTGGCCAGTGGCGGTTGACGTCATGCCCCAGCAAATCTGTCAGTACCCTCAGACTTCACGACGAACCCGTCAACACAGTGCCGTTCGGAGCTTCATTCAATGCTACCAAACTTACTGCAAATATGCGTAGTAGCCAAGACAACCGATTACACGTGTCAAAGCGTTTGAAGCACCGGGTTGAAATAGGTTGGAAATAATCTCTTTCGGGGATATAAGGAATCGGGCTGATGGGCACCCCGCAATGTCATGCTTGGCGAACCGAGATTGCCACCAAAGAGTCTCTTCACTCGATACTGTTTTTCTTCGTCTCACATCAGTCACTATAAACTTCAATAGGCGTGGATGAGATGACTCCTATTAATTCGTGTGTGTCTTACTGTCTAAAGCATACAAATTAAGAGACACGATAATTACTCAATTTTCTTTTGCGACACTTCGGGGTTCGCCAGGGCCTGAGCGTTCCAGCGGGGATCGTCACTGTCATTGACAGGTGCCCAACCCAGTTGTATCTGTTTTCCAATCAGCCTCTGCTCGATATTGTCTATCATTATCACAGCATTGACCTACCTGCATTGTCTTTTGATCCCAGTCTTTGGTAAAGCTCTTGATCTTGCCGTCCTCCACCTCAAAAATCGCGGCAGCGCACCATTTTGCATGCTTCTTCGTCGCCTCGATGCCTTTGTACGGCTTGCCGAGATGGCTCCCCTCGGCACTGTAGCGAAGTAGCACATGGCCATCCTTAGCCCAAGCTTGGTCAAAACGAACGATGTGCAAGTTATTGACACTGGCCATGACAGTGGCATGCGAATCCGCATAATCCATCGGCGTCTGGCATCCGGGAAACGTTGCTGGTGCCCAGAACCAGCTATCGGCGTGACACAGGTGACGGACGGACTCTGCGCCTTTGTTCTCCGTAGGCGAGTATGCAATCGCCATGTACTCTTTACAAAGCTCAATGTTGCGCTTGTGAGGACTTAGTCAACCGTCTCTGGGAAAGCCACCTCACTCAAAATGGCCGGGATCACTGCTGGCTTACCTGTTCCTCCGTCGTCTGCGACGTGGTGATGACCGAGGGCGGATATTCTCGAGGCGCCATGATGTCCGATTCTCTGTATCTTGAGTTGGTTACTGAACGGCTCTGACATCAATATCAAAAAATCTGAACGGGCGATTGTTGTTTTTGATGTGTGATAAAGCGGGCCGTTCGAGTCGTGACATCAGACTTACACGACTAGTTAAACATACCCCACGATCATAGTGATCGACGCTAGGGTCGAGAGAACAAGCAACTGTGGCGTTCTGATAGTGCCCGCTAGCCCTTGTAAGCCGCTGAAGCCACCAGGGATTTGTTTTTGCCAAGGGGGCTAACCTGCTGACTTGCTCTTTAAGCAGCCCGAGATGATTGCGCAAATACTGTTTGATTCTAATTGATCTATGATTTAACAGGCTATAGAAACGCGTACGAGATTCGAAGCTATTATTTATTCTCTCGACTATGGAAGTCCTAGGGTTGCCCTGTTACAAGGCAACGCCGATGGGGAGGGCAACAACCTGTTCATTAGTCAGGTAGCCGCATTTTGTCGCTGTTGCCGTACCATCCTCACTCTCTGTTAAGCAATGCCCTGAAGCGGCGTTGATCAGATTCCCGGTGACGAAATAGTCCCATCTCCTTGAGTCACCCTCTCCGCATGCCGAATGCCTCGACCATACTCTTCCGCTGTCCTCTACAAGACATTCATTCTCACGCAGGAGACTGTTCACATGGCCATCCGCTCTCACACGCCACACCTGGGCATCGGATCCGGTACACGTAGCCCAAGTCACCTTTCCTGACGTTGCATCCGTTAGGCAGTTTAGTGAGAATGTGTTAAAGATTAGGCCCGTAGGTATTATCCGTATCGATGAGCCAGGGGACGGATTTGAAAGACGAAAGACGGCCGTGCTTCGAGATCGAACGGCCTTGGCTGTGATGCCGCCAGACGACAAAGGGATGTTGGTAATCTCTCCTGTCCAAAGATTCTTGGACACGATTGTGTCAGGAGTAGACAGCGTCTTTGGCGACAACCCAATGCGCTCCCATGATACGGTCAAGTCCGCAGTGTCATTGCCTCGGTTGAGGATTGTCAATAGTCTGTCGCCGTTATACAGGCTCTTTGTCAGAGCGTCCCAAGTTCCATCCTGACTGACCAGCGTCGCCTGCTGGACCAGTGGGTCTTGATCTACGTCGAGAAAATCCTTGTTTGTCAAATATTCGACTTCCTCGTCCGTGATGTTCAGCACATCTGTGCTCAAAATCAAGGGCGCTGAAAAGCTGCACCACAATGCAAAGTGACTCTTCTTCTCGTCTAGTGTGTAATCAAAATGGTCAACGTTCAGGAAGTCGGGATCATTGAAATATCCTGGCCGCTGGTAACGTGCGAGTCGCACCTCCTGTCCGTAGTTGAACATGACACTATCCCACCCGGTGATATCTGGCCAGTAATTTGTGCTGTTCCAAACCAACGAGTCGCGACTGTGCCGTGCTAGCTGGCCGTATTGTTGAACCCAACCCATTACCGCATACCAATCACTCAGGTTGGCTGCCTCTGCGAAATATGCCGGCGCGCTCTCCGAGAAAATCATCGGATTTGGCTGCGCTGACAGAATAGAGTGCCATTTGCCGTATACACGCTTATAAGTTGCCTCGCTTGTATCCGGCATGTTGCACCCATCTAGCTTGACATACTCGAAGCCCCATGCTTCGAAGTCGGCAGCGTCGATCTCTTCGTGATCCAATGCTCCTGGGTATCCACCGCAGGATAGGTTTCCAGCGTCGGTATAGATGCCCGGGATGAAACCGTGGGATTTGATGTACTGGGTGAGCCAGGGCAGGCCATGAGGAAACTTTTCTGGGTCCCAGATCATGGACCCATTTGACGCCCGTTCCATAAGTGACCATTCATCATCTAGATTCAACCGGTTGTATCCTGCAGCCAACAAGCCAGTGCGAACCATAGCCTCGGCTGTGTCGACAAATAAGGATTCGTTAAGTCCACCCATATACCGCGCCCAGTTGTTGAAGCCCATAGGCGGTAATGGCGACAGAACTCCAGGAAGAGCGGATGCTGCCTTAGCAAGCATTGCTGCCGCCACAAGGGAGTTCTTGAGACTCATTCTCTCCAATGAGTCCACAAAATGTCGACACTTGAGCTGACGTCTCGTAACAAGGCTAGCTACTGCGGAACGTTCCAGCAAGGATTGTGGTGTGTGAATGAGACGGAGGAGACTTCGATCAGATGACGGCTGAGAAGGTAGCCTTAGCACCAATGAGTTCGTCTTCGAAGGAGTATGGTGCTCTTAATAACTGCAATCATTGTGAGAGGTCAATATCATCACTGCAAGGCAACGATGGCCATACACTGGTGGATCCTATCGAGTCTTCGAGGGGAATGTTACATATCAACTACTGATAGACCCCAGCAGTCCGGATATACACCTGTTGCTATCTCACTAGGACATAACTAGGATCCGATTATCGCATTCTCAACCGGGGTTGTGGCCAGGATCCGATTTGCGCCTTGAAGTGTTGAGGCGGGCAACCGTCGGGTCGTGGCCGTTTGGCTTCCAGGGCGGGGTTATGACAAGCGCTGTCGATCCTTCCGGCATCCGGGGCTGCCAACCGCAACATCGGTATACTTCAGCAGTGCCTCTCTGTGAAATGAGAAGCTTCGATGTAACCTTGGTCAGCTAGCTCCTCCAAGCCGGTTGAGACCCCCGACGTACTGTGCCGCTCAATTGGGTCTTTGGTTGACGAATCATTACGTATGTTAGGTTTATTGAGGTCTTGACAGCCTTTATATCACTAACTAGATCGAATAGCACTACGATTTCAGGCGCGATTACAATGTATTATTGAACCACCTAGTGTAAGGAAAACAAAATGAAACGAAGGAAGTGAAGCTCCTTCTCTACTTCCTAATTAATCAACCTTCTTAGCAACTAATAACGTCGATAGACAACGATGACCGCACCTCTATTAAACCCATATATGGTGAGATATCGCCTCGCCAGAGTAGGGAGGCAAACCATCTTCGGTGTGAGTTATACAGTATTTAAAGCTTTAAAATTGCTTCGATGTATTTGACCACTCTTGGTATCTTACTATGATACACTGATCGAGTCGCAATGAGTGCATAATAGAAACAACAGCATTTTCAACGCCTAGTTGACGCCTGCTTGTCGATTCTTTCGGTTGGCTGGCTTGCTGTGATTGGTCGTAAGGTGTAACGTTGCAGATTACGTGCAGCACTCACTGACAGATCGATGCCTTGAAAGTCAGACATCACGACTCTGTTGCTTTGAGGGTTCGGATTCACCCCTCATAAGGATTTCTATCTGAGAACCCTCTGAGCAAGAAAGTTATCATCAAATAAACAACTTACTACAACGTATACCAAGGAATGTAGTACAGTTCGACCACTGTATTATACTGTGAGTGTAACGTAAACACGTTCACGGCACAGTGCGATCATCCCCCACATTAGTGGCCTAAGCTTCAACATCACATCTCGCAGCGTCTCTTCTAGCCATCGGCGATTATAAATTCACCAACTCATTAAACCCCTCAAGAGCAAGGTGGAATTCTTGGCGTATAATCATCTCCACACATCATTTCTCAAATTTTTGTCGCTTGAAATCACTTTAGAAGCTATTTTCACACTCAATTATGACCGCGTCTTCGCTCCTTGAAAGGTTGAATCGGGATGGTTTCGTGGTGATCCCTTCAGTCCTCACACAGGAGCAGCTAACCTCCCTCCGCGAAGCTTGTAAAAATTCCATTTCAACAGCTCGGGCTGGCGGATGGCCTCATGTGCGAACTCTTCCGAAACAGTTCCCGCCCTGGCCCGCGTCCGGCCCAAATCCCGCAGCAGAGGGTATTTGGGGAGTTCAATCCGTCATGCACCCAGATATGCCAGGGCACGAAACATTCATCAAGACATATTTCAGCGATGCCGTAATTTCACCTACCAAGGAACTGCTACAGTGCGGCGATGATGATCTTGTCATGGAGCTATTCAATCTCTTGATTCGACCGGATCGTGACTTCGAGCTGAGGTGGCACCGAGACGACATTCCTGCCAGTGCTACGGCGGAAGAGGAACTGGAAAGGCTAAACAAGCCAGCTTTTTCAGCACAATGGAACTTGGCATTGTACGATGATTCAAGCTTGATTGTCGTTCCCGGATCTCATCGGCGGGCTAGGACAGATATAGAAAGAACTGCCGACCCGTACGAACAAGACATCCCAAATCAGCTATTCGTCAAGTTGAATCCAGGGGATGTAGTATTTTACAATAACAACATCTTCCATCGTGGCAAGTACGATTCAACCGTCGAACGAATGACGCTCCATGGTAGTGCGGGACATGTTGACGGTTCGACATTGCGGGCAAGGAACGTTCTCCAGCATGGACTTAGAGACTGGGTTAATAGGTGTGACATTGCTGTTCTAGATGAAAAAACACGCCAGCGAGCAGAACACATGCGCCACAATTTGATTAAAATGGGACAGGAAGCGGGCGATGTGGGCTATTCTCTTGATGGCTAATGCTCAGGATGAGTGATTGTAATCTAAAAATTATGCTTTACAGTCAGCCTATTCATAGCTTAACATCATCACCGATTTCTTAGACCTTTTTGAGCTTACTAGAGCTGAGACAAGTCCCACGACATATCCTTGTCAAGCTTTGCATAGTTCTCAAGGATTGAACAGAGTCCTTTATAACAAATACCCTGGTCTCGACAGTTCTGATAGCATAATCCGACGCTTGCCTTGAAAGGGTTCATCACAAATTTCACTCCACCAGGGCTACCCAGAGCGATGTTGCATCTCATATGGAAGCATTGCACGTACGGCTTCTTCAGCTGACGGGTGATCAATATCTCATCGTCAATTCGCTCCAACATGATAGGACTCTTCCAGGATGATCGTATTACCCGCTTGATGAAAGCAAGTGCGAACTCCGGAAGGTCAGCACACAGATTGTCTGTCAAATCATGGTCATGGCGCCATGCCACGCCTTGGAAGTATCAGAAGTCTTAGAGTTATTACACACGTCCCGGCTAAGCATCTTTGTTCTTGATTTCACTAGGCGACAAATCAATTCAATCATTCCACTCCATATCTTCTGCTTGAAACATCTTTGCGAGAGCTTCGGCTCGCGGCCAAGTACGGCATATCACGTCAACATAACGTGTCAGGGACCGGAAAGGTAGTAATGTGCCAGGCAATCCAAAGGACACAAGTATATAATAGCGAAAATGGTGATATATTCGTAGTAGTGGTGGTGGTGGAACTATCGTAAGATGGGAAGTAAGTAGGCCTACGGAGCGGGGTCACGTAAGGGCCCAACACTGCAGTTATAGCCAGGCTTCTTCCACCTCCGGTAGTAGTTGGCGCAGGCCGTGTCCCAGCACTGAGGCCTAAGTTGGCTTGCCCGTGGGTACTCGTATGTGTCAGGATCCATGGCGTGGAGCCAGTAGTCGGTTGGAATAATCTTAATAGTGGGGTTCGTCATCGCCTTCGTCTTGCAGATTATGATGTCTTTGCGGTAGCAAACCACGAGACACTGTCGCCGCGAAGAAATGCTACCAGTACTATCATTGAAGTTTAATGATAGGTCATGGGGTTTGATGGCTAGTTCCTGGTGGCCTGTTCCGAAAAAGTAATCTCTACGGATTTTATTGGAACAAGTCCGCCACCATGAAAATATCGAATCTGAAGGAAGTAATGGGAATGATGGTGGTGGAGTTGAAGTCATCGTAGTTGTGAAAGCAGTACTGGGCTCCATTGTTGTTATTGGTGGTGGTAGTGGCGGTTTATCATCATTATTTCCCGTCTCATAATGAATAAGGGGAGCTATAGGGCCCGATGGGCTGAAATATGCCATTTCAGGTAATGTGCTTGGACGGACAGGAGGATACAGATTGTCGGCCGGCCCCTGTTGTCGAAGCCTCCGGAACAGCGCCCTCAGACCGGACGCAGGTATCCGCCCGTCGGCGGTGAGAGGGAGCGCATCGTCGATACGGCCGCTGTGTGGTGTCCACTCCAGACTGAGAAGTACATTCTTCTCCGGTTCCAAAAAGTCACCGCCGGTGCGGAGACGGGCTCGTGGCCAGGTGGGTGCTGCCTCTGAGGAGGATGTGCAGCGTATATCGTGACTAGCGTCGTGACACTCGATCAGGAAGCTATCGAGACAGGCTTGCAAGTCTCCCCTTCCTACTCCCCCAGGATCACGATGCTGCTGCCGCCAGTCGTCGATGTGAGCCTTGATGCTAGCCCAGGCAATCTGTACGTGTTCGCATAGCTCCACTGACCCCTGCTGACCTAGACATCGTCGTTCCAGTCGCCGCTCCTGCCTTAGTGCTTCGTGGGAGAAGAGAGAAAACTGCCAGATGTCGTGGTAGACGAGAGAAAACTGCCAGATGTCGTGGAGACTGTCGCAGGCGTTGCAATAGAGCATGCGATAAAGCCAGCGACGATCATAAGGGTCGCCAGTGCGGCGTTTCTGCTGGAATCGGCAGTCATCATAAAACAACAGCTTCTGAGCATCGTTCCAGCGCCGACAGTTGTCGCACCGCCCGTCTCTCTTCAGGAGCCGTTGAAGTGGTAGCCTGAAAGCGCCGTGGAGAAGGCAAGGAGGAGTTATGTCTCGCGAGAACATCGTATTTCCATACCACGTGTCTTTCCAAAACCCTGACCGATAGTTGAGAAGACGTAGGAATATCCTCGAAACTTGTCGGAGACAGTAGAGTGCAACGGGATCGTTGCGAAGGAAGTTCAGTATATACAATAAGAGCTCTTCCGGCAGCCGGGTGAAGGGGCAAAAGCAATCGTTGTAGGCTTGCGTCGCTACGAGCGGGTCCATGTCGTTCTGCAATTTATTCAAGGCGAGACGGAGGGCTCGGGCCTGTTGTTCGCACTGCTTCTCCAGCTCCATATATCTCAAAGCTTCGCTTGCTTTGGCCTCCTCGAGCAGCTGGCGCTCTTGCCGCCGCTTTCGGATCCATCGTGAAAGAGCAAACATGCTTGGTTCTCCTTTAGGGGGTAACGAAATCGCACGGATGTTCGAGTTCGGGGGGGCGGGGCGTGGATGTTGGATGTAATGTTAGGTTGTAGCTTGAGCCCACGGATTGAGTGAGTTCAGGGGTTATTTGTAGTAGATGATTCCTCCCTCTCAAGGTTTTGAGCTACCTGGGTAGGTAGTTTTGATGCGAGAATACCGCCCCGCTGCGCTTGAAGCTTCTGAGCCCCTCGGGTCGCCCAAACTCACCCAAACTCATTGCCTGCACAAGAGGACCTTTCAGTAGCCTCATAAGGGTCATTTGGGCTCCATGTACACATGCGTCTTTACATCGGTGTAGTCACGTCACTTGGTCCACGATTGCGTTGATAGTGTCACGCTGGCCGCCGTTGTCAACACAATGGGGATAAGGGAAGCGACGATTTGATCAGTAAGAGCCGGAGGTGAGATTAAGGGGGTCTGATTGTGATATTGATGCGGGTTGGCTCTGGCGACACGAGTGGATGTGTAGATAGAAGTTTTGCTACCCAAAAGGGCAAACCCAGATCAGACTATGGTGGTGAAGATCGTGGCTGAATTATTTGTGCAAAGTGAAGGATACAAGGTTGAGGTAGCGGGAGAGAATGCTCAGGCGTTTGGATGTTGTCGAATTACTGGCACATCTCTTAAGGGAAAGAAACGACACGGAATTTCTCGCAATGTATGCCCAAGACCATAAGGCTCAAAATCTCGCCTTTCAACCTAGCAACCTAGAGCTCTGGATGAAATCCTCCAAACAGTATCACCATTTGAGACTGAAGAATGATGCGTAAAAACACCTCATAATAATTGGTTCTCCAATGCATTGAACACGACGCATGTCGCTGTCTCAGTTTCCTTCAATTCGCAGCCTGGTCTCCTCTCTCCCAACTCCTAGCAATTTCCTGACAGGATGGCTCTCTAAGCGATTTGAGCGCTCTCTCAACAATCCTAATATCACCGTCTTGAAGTTCTCTCCCAAATCCTCCCAAACAAACTCCGGATTAAGTAGCTTGATAAAACCACGCATTGCAGTGACAGGGATTTTGAGGATTTTACAGACGTCCTCAGCCGAGAGGTTCTTTTGCATCGTAGTGATAAAGCTGGGCTGCAACGACGATTCGAATTGCAAGAAGTCATCCGCTGTTGTCCGTTCCACGATGATGATTGCTCTTGTAACTGATTGCTCGCTTGCCTCTATAGCTGCAGAAGGCTCCGATTTCTCTCCAGTCAAGATGTGCTGCAAAAAGGCCTCGTTGAGTGGCTCAATCCTGTCGCTGAATTGGCCTTCCTTCCCAACTTGCCAAGGAGAGCGCTTAATTTCTGCGTCTCCGAGCACCTGCCTCGTAAGTTCAAGATTCTTGGTCTTGGTTGCTTGATCAACATTGTCGCCGAAGTCCGCGTTCAAAAGCTCTTTGTACAGCTTAATGTTCTGAACGTTAAATAGTTTGGGGTTGACATGCCAGAGAGATGCGGTCTCGGCATGTGCGTCAATGAGCGCTTGGCAATGCTCTTTCATCTTGGACCAATCATTGCTGACGCAAGCTTCTAACACCTTGGCCTTGAGCTCACCGAAAGCAGCCGATCGCTTGGTGTAAACGCTGGCGGCGATGAGATCGTCCTTGGCACGCCGTTGGCCTCCCTCAGCGAGGTGCTCCAGATATTGAATCATCCTGGCGTAACTTTGTGTCTGTGACTCTAGCTTTCGTGGAAGCTGATCTAGGAGTCGCCCTGCGATGGCTGTAGTATCAATGTCTTCTGTCGTAAGCATTCGCATGAAGATGGTGATTATTGTTCGAGAATGCTCAAGTTGGATATTTCGAAGCTTGCAGTATTTGATGATCTCATCTGCACGACTCGACTTGGCAGCATTCAGGTCCTCACCCTTAGTAACCACTCGAACGATCGCCTTGTTAAGGAGCTTCTCCAAATTCTCATAGAACTGTTTCAACGGCCAGCCAGTGTATGGATAGAGAGCGACGACTGTCTGGTACCAAATCCACTCCGCCTCGGTCGACGGAAGGTCGTATTGCGGGTTCTGGCCAAATAGCTGCCAAACCATGCTGAGAGGACGTACCCCTGACCCGGCTATTGTCAATAGGTTACCAAATAGTCCTCGCATCAATTTTGTGACAGTATCTTCGGCTTTATCCAGTACAACTGGAGCAGTTGTTCTCATTGCGGCGAGTTTTGACATGGCTGCCATCAGCAATGCGCTCATAAGATTGCCAACTTCTAGACTGCCGGGCTGAAAATTGTACTCCCTGGACGCCACTGCTTGGCTAATGGTGTCCCTTGTAAGGATTCTCAATGCGGCGATGTGTCGTTCGTTGCATTTCTCCACCCACCTTACAGTGTAAGGACTCTCAAGATTGACAAATTCATCCCAGCAGACCCAGGCTAACATGGACCCATTTCCCCTTCCTTGACTTAGGTACGGCAGCGCTAAGGTCGGGTGGGATGGTCCAGCCAGACTTCTTAGTGGTCCATCGTGCTGGGTCTGCGACTGTTCGATGATGATACCTGCATCAAATCCTTCAAGATGCAGAACTCTCGAATCAAGGTCGCAGCATGGACTACACAGAAGTGTCAACGATATTCAACGCCAAATTTAGCCTAACCTTCCAGTAGGGAAAGAATAAAAAAAGACTTCGACAAATTGGCTGTACTTACCTAGCATCAATGGCGGCGCCTGTCAAGTTACCCAAGAGCCGGCGATATGGTGTTGTCTCAATATTCAACAGCATGACACCCATTTCTCCTGCATGGGTTTCAAGATATCCAGCCAAGGTCTCAAAAGTCATAGACTTCACAGCTTCGACGTTGTCTTGAATCTGAGTCTGACGAACAAGCCGCTTCAAATCATGTGTTCGCTTTGAAGTTGTTTGAGAAGACATAAGATTTGCCAAACTTGAAATGACCGGCTCAAGCGCCTTTTGCATATTGGCAGTGGCTTTTCGTAGATCTCCAAGCATATTGTTCTTCTTCTTTACTAACTCTGGGTCTGACTCCTTGTATTCTTGGGTTAGGAAGTGGATATAGGCACTCCTCAACGGAGCCGTCACGTTGCTGACTTTTTGGGAGAGCGCGGACACCAAGGTTTTAGATAGTTCTTGTAGGTCTTTTTGGCTTAAGGTAACCTGGAGTTGCGGAACCACCGCGAAAATATCTTCTTGCAAGTTCCCAATTTCGTCATATTGAAGGTCTTCGAAAAGTCTCTGAAGATCCTGAGGCCGGACTAATTGACCTGAAGTAGGGAGTATAACCGGGCTTGATTCATTAAGCGCTACGAGCCTCTTTGCTCTCGGATCGATCATAGAGTTCATGCCGGCAGTTTGGACTATTAATGTGACATCCGAGCCAAACGCCAACCCGGATGTGTTAAGGTGTGCTCGGTTCGCGATGCCTCGATAGAAGTAATATTTCTCGAGAATCTGAATCAAGACCAAGGACTGTGGCCCTGCCAAAGCTGTAACAGCATTGATATTTGCCGAGTTCAACATTGATAGCACATCATCAGTAGTTTTGGGCTCATGCTCCGGTGTGACTTGCACAATGAAAAGTGCGTTAAGTCGCCAGTGGGTTGCGAGATTTCGGGCATTATCTGTCATTTGTTCGTCAACAATGACCACAACGCTTTCAAGTTGCTCATAATAGGTCCTGAGGGCAACTTCGTCGGAAAATGGAACGCTTGAAGGGACTGTTCCAGTAGCCAGCAGAATCGGGCCTTCAAGCTGTGAACCAAAAATACATGGCAATATAACAGCAGACGATGGATTCCTCGTCGACGCTTTTTCCTTAGATAGCCTAAAGTCAATACCAGTGCCAAAGTTTATGAGCTGTGTCTGTTCAACATCGATCAACGATGGCAAATTGACGGCATTTGTGGTGAACACCGCGTTGTCCTTGGCCATGATGGCTTTCATATCATCCGAATTTGCAGCTGTGTCCTTGTCGATTGAATGCGTGCTTGCGATTACGCCTGGACAATTGTTAAGTGTTTCTGTATCACAGTCGTTTTTGAAAATATCAGTACTAACCTGGGGCTGAAGATGACTGGGAAGTAGAAACGGTGAAGTCTGCGCGCTTGATCGCTTCCGGGAAGCAAGTGCTTACCGTTTTCTTACTATGGCACATCATGTTTCGATCCGTGGTTGCTTTAGGCAATATTGAACAGATTAGTGAATTTCCATCGCGCTTTATTACTAAGGGGCAACATATAGTCGCATCTCCAATTGTCGCTGCATCCAAAGGAACCGGGATGATATAGAGAACCTATACACCAGAGTCAGCGTAGTTGTCCCAAAAAACAAGACCAATTCTGGACCTGCCTTGTCAACATGGTCGGCTACGAGTAGCGCGGGACTGGTTCCAAGAAATCTAGTGAGTTGTGTACACTGATAGCCAGAGATGAAGACACAAATTTCTCTTCCCGTGAGTGTGGCACTGTCGATGCGAACATAGTCCAAGAGATCCTTGTTGTTGAGAAGATCGCCACTGTGGCTTATGCCCGGAAATGTGTTTCTTTCGAGCCAGCAACATGAGTTACATGATGCGTCTGCAAAACAAAAGTCGTAGTACGTGGGGGTCCTTTCTGAGACTGCCAAGATCGTAATCTGGCCTGACACAATTGGGATCTTGAACGTGGAGCTTGGTGCTTGCATGATTTGAAAGTCTTGAAAAACACCTGATATTTGTCAATGTCTAGCCTTTCATTCCAGTTCATAGGTTCACGACTGGAGAGGGCATACTCAAGTGACCACGAAAGCCGGCCATCCGACTCAAAAGAGTCTCGCCCATCTCACCGAGGTCGACGGCATTGAAGAAGAAATCTTCCGGGTAGGAAGATATATCAATTTCATCGATACCTTCCTGCGTCCGACAAAGAAGAATGTGGTCTGGACTGTAAGGGTGTGCAGAACCGATTGGCAGGCCTTCTAGAATCTCTCGGATCGACGACTTCGTGGTCGCTAGAGGATTAAAGAAGGTTTTCCGAACCCGCTCCATGGTTGCTAATCAATCCCCGAATGCTATTCACAGACCAAATACAAGAACTGGAGATCGCGCGATTCGGGATGTTGATTCGAGCTCAGGACGGAGTTGGATTGTAGAATGGATTTATATTCAAATGTTCTCGAAGTCACACCGCGTGAGTCACGCGTGACCAGAATAATGCTGCGCCACTTTTGACAGGCACGACCGACCCCAATAAAGAACGTCAGATTAAGAAGGATTTTGATATCGATTTAGGAAACATGTGGTGACAGGCGTTTATTGAACTCAATTCTGTGTCATCTTTAGATGAGTAAGGAGTATTCGGGGTAAGTTTTGAATTTGTTTTGACAGCAATGCTCTGATCTCAGCCCCAGCCGCTAACCATTTCACTATTGGTCGAACATTCGCAGTACAGTACACATTAACGTCCACCCACAGTCATGAGATACAGTGAATCTGCAGCAGTTGCTCCCAAGTAAAGCACGTCAGTCCCGTCGCTTCGCATAATTGCTTGCAACCTCTGCACCTGCTTGCCCGTGGCCGGGGCCAATGCAGTATCAGTCCATGCAGATGAGCCACTCCGCTCGAGCACTCTGGCGCTTTCGCTAGCCCGGCAGTAATAAATTCTAACAGTTGTCCCATCGTGTGTGATGCCGAGTCCTGCACTGGTGTCCCCTCCTTGATATACAATCTCTCGTGTCCATGGCGTGGAGCTACTGGACCCAAAAGTTCCTATCGCTCGTCGCACTTGCCATGGGGCACCGGTGGCATTGATGAATCGGTATCCGTGCTGGACATGTACTGTCCCTGCGGTGTCCTCATAAAGAGCCAACTTAGCGCTTTGGAATGCTGGACCTGGCGAAGCGTTGATGTCATTCGCATATGTCTCTCCAGATGTGAGGGGTTGAAATACTAGGTTTGCTACAGCCTGCGTCACGGGAAGAGTAACAGTCGTGCCGGTGATGGTGCGGTAGGTGTTAGTCGAGGGGGTGTAACGGAGATAGCTGCCCTCGTGGCGGACACCCGAGGCAGGGTATTTGCTCCATTCCCACTGAATATGCACATCTCCATCCGAGGAGAACTGAATATCATCAGGATAGATAGAATAGCCCTTGTTATAGGCCCAAATGCTCACGCGGCTCCACGTCTTGCTCGAAGTAGTGTACTTATAGAAGTAGCCGCCTTTGGCCGTAGTATCACCCGGTGCTTGGCCACGGATGGCAAGCCATAGGTTACCACTAGCATCACGCTTCAAGACAGGATAGGTAAAGTTTGAGGTTTGATCTGGCATGTCGGCACTCGCATCCACGATAGTCGTGCTACTATACGCTGATGTAGACCTATAATACTTCCAGTAGTCGTTGTGCATGCCAGTAAAGACGTGAACGTAACCATCTCCGTCAACAGCAACACTTGGGGCGTTGTGACCAGCATCGTCGAGAAACAAAGCGCAATCCCCAGAGCTGGTTTTTAAGCAGTCGCGAATGATGGATCCATCTGAAATAGCTCGCCTGACAATCATCACATTGTTGTTGGCTGTCGAACCACTTGGTGGGTTGCGAAGATACGCCAACCAGTCGTATCCACCGGCCTCATCCAGAGGATCCCACCACGCTGCCGCATTGTTAGGGTCAACAGCCGTCGAAATGGTAATGAGGCTACTGGGGCTGATCGTGGCGATTGCCCCAGAAGAGACGAGCAGACAGGACAACAGCCGAGAGGACCTCATTGTTCTAAACTAGGAAAGAAGCTTGATGGTAAAATCTCAACACTGCAAGAAGTTTGAAGCCGAGCAACGCCATCTTAAATACACGATTTCATCCACACGCAACCTCGGAGCTCGCCATCATGTCACTCCAGATTCTCCGCACTTTTCCTCAGCTACCCCACATAGAGACTGTGGGGATAGCCATGATGATGACACGGCCAGCAAATATCACTCAAGGATCCAGTGCTTGATCCAGTGTGAAGGTACTAAGTGGATCTGTTCTCGCTTATTTCCTGAAAAGCATTGTCAATGATATGCGGGGGAGTCGTTAAACAGTGTCTCGGGACCTCCCATCTTGT